GGGTTCCCCCTGCTGGGGAGAGAGCCCCTGGAGGCCAGTCTCGCCTCAGTCTCATTCTGACTGAGGGGCTGCCTGAAGCCCTGCGGCCCCAGGGTGGGTCCAGCGCTTAATTTGTGCCAGGGCTTGCTAGGGCTGAGCCCCAGCACTTCTAAGCTTGGCAGTTCATGCTCTGCTGCTTGTGGACTTGTTGTATCAGGGATGCACGTAAAAATGTCTTAAGGAGCCCTACCTGTTTCATTACAAATAAAGCACTTGCAGGATGCCCAGCAACCTGCCCCCAGAAATGCCCCCTTGCTGGCTGTATAAAGTAGCATTGATTTCCCTCTCCTTCCCCCTTATATTTTCTATCCTTCCATTTACCATTGAAAACAGAGGGACAAATCAGTGTTTACTAGACCCTTCCTAAATCTGAATGAATCTCTCGTTTCTCACTCATCCCTGCATCTGCCGGGAGGGGGGGGATGTTCTTTTGTAACTGTCCAGTCTCACCTTCTAAGCACCATCTCTGGACCTTTTAGTTTTCTTCTGCATCTTTCTACTTGAAACCTTCAATTAGAGATTATCAAATTGACAGAATTCATCATCTAAGGTGAAAAAATCTCCCAGAGCTTTATCCCTTCAAAATTGGAAGGTACAGCAGTGCCAGACTCAAGTATTAACAAACCACATCAGGTGCCCAACAATCTATGCTTGACTTAGAAATCATGCTATTTACAAACAATAAATGTGGGGTTCTTTTTACTAGCCTTTTTTGTGCTTTAGAAATCACATTTTCAAGCTTTGCAGTTAAGGCTATCAATTTAGGCTTCATTTGTTATTTTGTGAAAAGCAAGTTCAGATAATGCCATGGCTCTTGGAGCTGAGGATTTAGAGAAGACACCGTGATACTCAGGAAATCAAATACCGTGATACTCAGGATAAAATCACAACATAGGGTGGTAGTAAAAAGGTACTTCAGAGACTAAAGACAAATGAAATATAGATGAGATCATGATTAACATACTTGCACATTTCCTTGCTTTGTATTGTTTGGTGGAATACACTATCTAGTAACCGTAACTCACAGAGATCTAAATATGTGTGAAGATTTTCCAGCTTTTTAAAATTATGCATTAGTATGTAAGAATGACTCACGAGTCCCAAGCCTGCAAACACTTATACATGTGCTTACCTTTACTATCATGAATAGCCCTATCAAAATAAAGTAGACTATTCACCATGGCTACGTCTACACTGGCCCCTTTTCCGAAAGGGGCATGCTAATTTTAAACTTCAGAATAGGGAAATCCGCGGGGGATTTAAATATCCCCCCGCAGGATTTAAATAAAGATGTCCGCCGCTTTTTTCCGGCTTGTAAATAAGCCGGAAAAAAGCGTCTAGACTGGCCCGATCCTCCGGAATAAAGCCCTGTTCCGGAGGATCTCTTCGAAGTAGGAATAAGTAGGAATAAGGCTTTATTCCGGAGAATTGGGCCAGTCTAGACGCTTTTTTCCGGCTTATCTACAAGCCGGAAAAAAGCGGCGGACATCTTTATTTAAATCCCGCAGGGGGATATTTAAATCCCCCGCGGATTTCCCTATTCTGAAGTTTAAAATTAGCATGCCCCTTTCGGAAAAGGGGCCAGTGTAGACGTAGCCCATAAGTGGGATGTTGGCAAACTATGCGTCAGCTCATGACAAGGCCAAGAGCCTCGCTGACCAGTGACAAAAGTCTAGTTGGAAACCAGTGTGGCTTAGGACAGTTAAAATAGCTATTAGAAAATGTAGACTTGCTTGTAGGATGATACGTGTTAATCCTACTTGTAATATCTGTATTCCAGAGTATATATTGAGTGTTCGCATTGTAAATCTCTGTGATTGTGAAACTTACCAAACAGGAAAGGACGCATTAATAATGAAGGTAAAGTGTTCATCTTGCACACAAGATAACCCACTGAAAGCATGAGCCCACTTCCACACTCCAAACCCCTCAGCCCCACTCCAGAGCCCCTTCCCGCACTCTGAACCCCTCATTTCTGGTCCCACCCCAGAATCAAGGGGAAGCCCTGAGCCTCCATGCCCTAATATGGGGCTGATGTAGCCTGCAACTCATTTTCTCTGTGGATCAGTGGCCCTTGATAGAAAAAAAAGGTTCCCTCCCCCTGCTCTAAGACCTTACAAGGTAAGAGGTCCCAGAGCTCCAGCTGCAAACATTTACACTGAAATTAAACAGCCCCTTAGCCCAAACCCCTTTGCCTGAGTCAGCTGGCATGGGTGAGCTGTGGGCATCTAACTTCATTATAAATATAGTCTGAGGAGCAAAGGATTCCTAAAAATAAGCAAGAGATCCTGCTGGCGTGGTTCAGCACTAAAAGTTATATAGAGAGGATTTTAAAAACTTATATTATCTTTTTAAATCTAACACTAACTTGGCTGTGTCTACACTGGCGCGATCTCGCGCAAAAGCGGCCGCTCTTGCGCAAATACTTGCTTCCCATTTATACTGGCCGCTTGTTCTTGCGCAAGTACACTAATGTTCTAATGTAGAAAGTCAGGGTTTCTTGAGCGAGAACTCTGACACTCCCACTCAGGAAGAAGCCCTTTTGCGCAAGAGTTCTTTCAGAAGAGGCCGGTGTAGACAGGCAACATGAATTTCTTGCGCAAAAAGCCCCTATGCTTAAAATGGCGATCAGAGCTTTCTTCCAGAAGAGAGCGTCTACACTGGCCTGGATGCTCTTGCGCAAAAGCACATCTCTTGCCCAAAAGCACATGCCAGTATAGACACTCTCTTCTGGAAAAGTTTTTCCAGAAGAACTCTTCCGCAAGAGATTTTGCACGAGATTACACCGGTGTAGACGTAGCCACTTCTGTATGCTTTTCGTTTTAACTTTGCAAATAAGTAGGGGTGGTTTTTTGTTAATAAACCTTTACTTAATTAGAGGATTGACTATAAATGTTCTTTGGTGTGTGAGCTGAAGTGCAAATTCACCAGGGCTAAGTGACTAGTTTTTTGGGACTGGGAGT